AAAAGCTGAGTTTATACTAATAGTACACAATGCTTGGCAGCATGAACGGCTATGTACAATGGCGTATACGAATGCGATCAGATACTAAAACGTCATAGCTTTGAAAAGTACCCGGATTATAAATATGTTCGTTCGTTAATTATTCCCCTCCATGAATGGCCTCCATGGCAAGCACTTTTAATGCCTATCCAAGCTACAGTTATAATTAAAACAAAATTAAACCACTGCAATATTATTTCGAATCCAGTTTAGAATATACACAACTATAAATTAAGGCCGCATTTAGGTTCGCTTTAAAGCGTTTGCATTTCTGAAGATGCTAGCAACACTTGGGAAGCTAACCTTGTCAAACACACAGATGACACTAATAGGAGTCAAGTGTGACAACTTCAAATAGGCCAACTGAGGAAGCTACTCTGTGACAAGGTATGTAAGGTTACGTCTACAGGGTAGTTGCAGGTTATGGTTATGATTATAATGCCATGAGAAAATCTGATTTGCGCATACGCGCAAGTGGCATATAGACAAAACTGCGCCACACCTTTTCCACGTGCAATTACCCTGTAGAGGCACCCTTACATACATGCTATGACCTGTGATTTTCAGCAACACCAGAACTGTTCACACATTCAAGCTATTCTTATGCTTAGGTCAGTGGAAGGATTTTTAGAGGGGCACTATTCCTCAGCTTCTCCAAGATGGCACTATCTGATTATACCAGGGCCAGCGGCGGTACAACTCGCAACAGGAAACAGCTTTTCTATCACTTCAAGCTCCATATGGTAGAGTTGTACCATGTGACACACATGTACAAGAACGGCCCATCCAGGTGGAAAATATTAAATCTCCCATCATCATCACATTGTCTATCATTTTGGGTGGAACATTGCAAAGAAATGTCACGAGGTTCAACTCGTAAGCTTATAATTGCACGACTTTCACATTATGGTCATTTGTGCTGGCATCTCTTCAAAAAGCTCTCTACAAGCTGCAGAATGCTGCATTACTTAGTCAAGAAAAACTATTTCTGGTGGTATTGGTACCAAGCAGGTGGGTCCAGCAAGATGCAAGTTCTCTCCTTTGCCGATATCTTCTCTGCTTTTCAGTCTGAGTGTCACTGGTTGACTAATCACTTCAGGGCTAAAAACCAGTGATCTGGTAAATTATAAGACAACCTTGTACCACTATGATACCACTCAGTTTGTGGGAATTACTGTAAAAGTTTATCTATCGCATACCGAGCTAATTATGCAATTCATCATTGCGTGCATTTAATATTTCTGCCTTAATCAAGTTTTACTTTATATCTGTTTGAAGATGGTGCCTGCAGCTTCCAATATTCAGACTAATTCTAGAAAATACCTAACAATTCAATAGTGATATTAATTGGTAGTGAAGTCATGAACTAGAGAGACTGATTTCCACACTCGTCTACTTGATTCTTAGTTACTGCCAATGACGTAGCCCACCCATCCACCTCCCCCCCTGCATCTGTGCTTTGTAACTTCGAGAGTCACTGTCTGGCGGGGGCGGCGGCACCTCAACTGATGATTTGATTAGAATCTCTCAATACGCCCAAAGGTGCTAATGCGCCTGGTGGGCGATGCCATTATTCCCAGGTTATGCCTTCTGATCAAACACTTTAATTAGACAAATATTCAACATCCGATAGTCAGTGACTGATAAACAAGTAGACTAATTTGCTTGATGAGCAAGTTAATTAACATGCATTACAACCCTGCACATGATCCAACTCAAAACTCTTGCAGGGCTTTTTCTGATTGTCCAAGTGCGGAGCTGCATCTTGATAATGCCCTGCCCATGGGGGCATTGAAATATAAAGTCAACACATGTGTAAATTTTAGGAGCTTGTGACCAACTGCGCAGTCATTTTCACTGTCAAGCATCTTTCTCCCCCCAGCACATTCATCCCTCTTGCTTTACACATCTTCCACACATACCACGGCCAACACCACTACTCTATAAGCATACCTGAAAATATAAGCAACAAATGGGTGTGTCACATTTCCTCAATTAGAAGCACATGCACTTACGTCAACATCTTGCAGCTATATTTAAGCAATTTCACTTTACGTACTGATAACCAATTAAATTACTTTTGATGAGAAATTGAGGTATAAAGAAGTGCTTCTAACGGAGTAAATACAGTTAAGTACAACACGATTAAAGATCAGAGACAGCAACACTACTAGAATAATAATTTAATTCCATAGTAGAAAACAGAAAAAAAACAACAATGCAAACGGGCTGAAAGACCTGCCTGCAGTCAGCATCGTAATGAATGTCTTACAATTACACAGTAACTGGATGAATCAGTAGAGCCGTAGTGAACGTGTCATGTTGCGTCTTACACTAACCTCTCCAAACTGTCAAGTCGTTTTTTTTAGAACAAAATCCCAGGTAGCATTACAAATATACAGCAAATATTCCTCTATGATACAGTAAGCAGCATATATATATACACAAGCTGAAGATTCAGGTTATTTATTTGAGCCAAAGTGGTCAGCTTGCTGCAACGTTCGACAGCAAAACTATACCGCTAACGAGAGGCCAGTGCAAACGCTTCACCAGCAGGCATCTGTGGAGTGTTGTCAGAAAATCATAAACAAAAACGGCATGGGTTCATATAAGATTGGTGGAACTGTACATAAATGTAAGCATCTCCTGTCTTTCCCAACATATACAAACACTGACCCGAAATTAAAACGATGGAAACTCCATGTAAACTGTTCATTATCTTCAATAAATGGACTGATGGAAAATTGAATGCTGACCTGCGAGGGCAGTGTTGTGAATTGGAGTAAGATATTGTGGCAAGACGCCATTTAACACGATCAATGAGAATATACATAGTAATAGATTTGATAAATCAGAAATGTGCTTATTAGTTACATTTTTTTTTGTCTTGTATGTTTTATGGATTATTTAATTTTTGATAGACATGCATGCTAACTGGATACCTGATTTACAAAAGGGTAATGACTGAGGTTGTCATTACATTTAAATATAACGTAATAGATGAACACAAAATATTAAATACAATTGTTAGGAGGTAAAGACGGGATGGGTTGTGTAATAAATGGTAAATGATGTCATGATAATATCTAATAATAGATACGTGTGGTTATTTTGAATTTCTAAAAAAAACAATATTCAGAATAAGAGTACATTGAGAACGATTTGGCTTTCCTTGTTGACCACAATGCATATTTTTTTTCATCAATGAATTACGATCATTGCACAACTTATACCTGAGTGTCAAGTTACATCAGCCTGGCATGGCAGTGTCCTTTCAAATATTTCTTTTTATATTATTTGCTGCTTTGTGTAGCTTGGTTCTCAGAAATTTCTCCCGATTTGAATACTGAAAAAATTTTTTTTTTCCATATTGAGGGTTTGAGAAAAAAAATCGAACATTAGACGTGCAAGTTGGTGTTGCCACATACAAGTTCAATTAACTACCATTTACTAAATAACAAAAGACGATCAACGATACATACGTATCAATGCTTATTTCAACATTTTGTATAATTTCAATGATACAACTAAGTTTTACTTGTCAAGAACATTCAAAAATTGGATTAATAATTGGTGAGTAGATGCACAACAAAATTCTGATGAAAAACTACAACATTGAAAGAAGAAAATAAAAATGCCCGTTTGCGAATTTCACTGCTACTAAGTAATATATGTTTCTGTAATTAGAATACTGAGAATTTAATGTTTTTATAATTATTTTTTTTTTTTTTCAATTTCTGAGAGCTTCACCAGCACGAAAGCAGTACGGTAATCAAAATCCTTGTCAATGCAAAGTGGTCTTAGACACTGAAAATAAAAACAGTTTACTTCGGCAGCCATTTTGAAAAGTTCTCCATGAATAATTTTCTACTATTTTTTTCAGTAATAAAGTGGTTTACAACATAATACATTGAGAAAGGAAATGATCATAAAATGGGAATAGAATCTACGACTAAAATGAACTCACAGTTTATTTATGAATCACATTTATATTAAGCTAGTTTTCTTCCAGGTCTGAGAAGTCTTTCCAATTCTATATTTGTCACAGGTTTTATGTTAAAATGATGTTGTTTCAGTTCGGTTCAAGTTGTAGTGAATTTTACCCTGCGAGGCATCATGTTCAAGAAGCATTATATGTTGTTTTGTTTGTTTTTCCAACTGATAGACAAGAATTACAGGTACAAGCCGTTGACTCTGAGGTAACACAATGAACCCAAAATATCTTTGGTTTTGTGGATTATCATGTGGTCTCAGGCTTGAAATAAAAAAAAAAAGCATTTTGGAACATCATTATTTTGTGCGACGGAGAGCAACCTACACAAAAACTGATGATATTCAAAATGAATATCTCCCTGCTCTGTTTTTTTTTTAGTACTACTTTTTTTTTGAATGTTCTTATAAAACATAAAAATAAAGTATGTAAATAGAATTTCTGGCCATAAATATACTCTTTCTCTTCAAAAAATAATGGCCGTTAACTTTTTTTTTTGTTTTTTTCAATTTTACGTTTTTTTTTTATTTTTGTTTTTTTCATCTTTTTTTTTTTAATTTTTCATTTTTTTTTTGTTTCAATTTTATGCTTTCTTGAATTTTGCTTCTGGCAGTTTCCTTGCATTAAAAACCCCTTAAAACCGCATACATTTCTGACAATTTGATGCCGAACAGACCGGTTGCCTGCTAAAACACATTCCACTTAAAATGACAGGTGGCAATCAACAGATACTAGCTGAAGAATTCAAAACAAATATGATCACAAGTTTCTACAGACATCCTACAAAATCTACGAGGTAATCGTCTAATGTCTTTGGTAGAATGAAAGATGGAGAAAGAGGTAATGATACTGGCATTTCACGTTGTAAAAACAATATCCACACAGTCACTGTCTTGTTACGTTACTAATCCCCGGTTCCGTTCTGTTGGCGCCTGTCTCCTCGATTACGGTCGCCTCTCTCACGATCCGGGCGTTCTGGTCGTTCTCCCATAATGCCCGACATCATACCACCACCGCCAGCACCGCCGGCGCCTCCACGTTGGTTGTACTGCATCATAGCCTTGGCAGTGTAAAGCATGAAACGAATCTGTCTTTGGGCAGACTGAAATGAACAAGAGTGTGCTAATTAAAGTGTATATAAGCCAGGTATAAAATAAAGTTATTATACAGCATTAATCAAACTCATTTTTCCAGAAAATTGTACACTTGGTAAACTGACCATGCATAACTTGTCATACAACAAAGGACATCATTTGTGAGATAAAAAAACAATAGGAAAGCATATTCCAGTCTCCAGAGGGCAGTATACATAGGCATTTTGGTACATTATAGCGTTAGCATAACATTATTAAGGTGATGATTGAGTGAAGGATGATAAACCATTTCTAATTTAGCAATGCTTATATTTGGGAATTTTGACCATGAATGAAGAACTGCCATTTTATGTACGAGGATTACATTTTTTTCACCATCGGTGAAATACGAATCACAAGCGAAGAATTTTACTCAAAAGTTCCTTTTCTTCCATATTGTGTTGCTCTAAATCCTTTATAGCACAACACATTTTGTTATCTTGATGCCACAAATAAGCCATGAATTAGGATGAGCTTATACCGCTTGAATACAAAACTTGAAGGTAGTGATTCATTTTTCTTTATAACAGTGTGAAACAGCGGTGTTATTGTGTATGATGAAAGTTGCCCTAAAAATAATTTTCTTACCTGACTGGCAAAGAAGTGACCTTTAATTCGTACAACCACTTCATTTTTGTCATTAGGTTTTATGTTTTTGGGTACATCAATCTCAGCACCAGTCAACAGCTCCAGGTCCTGGATCTATGATATTAATTATTAATAATAGAAAATCAAAGACACATTTGTACATATCATGCTTCAGTACCCAAACCGATCATTCATGCTTTCATTCTTAAGTTACTCTTGTTTCTTGTCAAAAGCTATTTCGAGCATTTTTACTGCCATCGTCATATTGTTCGGAACACCAAAACAGATTTCAGACTGGTTTGCAATGCGCGTCTCAAGATCATTATATAATTAGAACTGGTTAGCTCAAACAATGTGCGCATTCCGACATGCACAAGCGTCAGTGTCCTGATATTATATACAAATTTATATGATTGAATAAAATAAATTGAAAGGCAATAGTGTCATGATATATTTATATTGAATGTGTCCGATTCTTCGAACATTAAGTTTGACATCTCCTGTTGAGATTTGTTTGACCAACTTGTTCCAATCGTGTAACAATCGCCAAGCACACATAGCAAACCAGTCAGCAGTAAAGTGGGAAACAAAGCAGTTAAAAATCAAAGCGTTTATTCCATTCACACTAAAAGCACCCAATGAAAGCGACAGTAACAATGGCCAATAGTCTTTTTTAAAGACAGTCGCTTTTAACCAAACTGTTCTATCGAAAAGTATCTTAAGGGGCAAAGTCACAAGCAAGAGCATTTGATTTTGACCTAAAAAAGACCCATAATTCTTAGGGATAGAACACTTCAACAAAACAAGACATTATCTTTAAAACGGCCAATTGAAATAGTTTACTTACTGCACTTCCTCGTTTACCGATGATTCTTCCAACCATATTAGCTGGAACCATTATTTCAGAAATGAGACGGACTTCACCTTTGCCACTACATACATCAGTAAGTATCTTGTGGTAAATAAACCACTGCGCTATCCACTGAGCATCAGGATAGCCTTCAATGTATACCGCCCTTTCTTCATCATCTTCACTTCTTGGTGGCTCAACCTAGAATATGACAAATCTTACTGGGACATTCATCGATGTCAAACTCAATACAGAAACAAACAATTCAGCCAATGAATAAACATGTAACACTGTAAAATACTTTATTTTCGTTCTGAATTTATTTTCGCTGAAGAGATGATTCAGTGAAAATAAAATCCAACAAACATATCGTTTTCTTTATTTTATATTTAACTCATGAAATAAACTCCATACACCCAAAAAGGGTTTTCAGCGAAAATTAATTCCAGTTAAAATTAAGTATTTCACAGTATGAGAGCAGTGTCGCTTTACTTCACTAGCACAAGTATTGAGGACAATAGTAATTTCTGTCATTGGGGGGGTCAATGTCCCATAGGAATTGAGGGCAGTAGTACCGTAAAAATCATATTTGAGGCCGCACCCCTAACTTGAGACATTGTTTCATGTTGAAATTGACAAGTTTTGATCCCAGGAAAAAGCCTGCAATATAAGCCGCACCCCAAACTTTTACAAACCAAACAGCCACCACATATTTCAGAAAAAGATGCCATTTTCCCATCAAAATCAAAGCCAAACGATCGCACTACAACAACAGTAAATCTCTTCCGTGTTTCGTTTACCATGAGGTTGCTGAACTACATTAACATATTTAAATGAGCTATGGTAATTTAATCACATTGGCACCATCCAGCGTTTCGATTGGTTAATTAGCGACTTGACCTATCAGGTCAAAAAAAAACAGTTTTAAGCCACTAAAGATGTTTGAACAAACATGGCAGATATATCTGATCAAGCAATTATATATGTAACCAAAATCATACGCGAGAGGTGAAACGAATTTATTTTTTGTACGTTATTGTAATCACAACTGAATAATAATCAGCAATTGTAACACTTCGAAAACAAGTAAGTTATTCACTTGTGTGAAATGCAGCATGACCGTTTAATACAGTGATCATTTGCTACTAAGAATGCATTCGTTTTTACTTCTTTTAGAATATACTTTTCGTTATCAAAAAAAAAATGAGAAAATAAATATATATTACATTAAATAATATACTGAGTATTTTTTTTTGATTGACTTTTTATTTTTTTATTTCCCCGATGTCTAAATTAAACATGGAATATACAGTCACTCTGCCAGAAGTTGAACATGCCAGTAGTCAAACGCAATCGACTGTGTCAGATGGCTGTCTCTCAGTTGTCACCTATACCGGTGCTAACGAATTAGTCTATTTAAAGTGCCTGTGAAATGGCTGCTATTTTCACACCGAAAATTATCCATTGATACATATTATTTTTTATGTTTCTAAGCATGAATTATTTTTTTAAGTGCAAAAATGTGTTTTAAACTCAGTCTACGGCAACTTTATTTTTGTGTATTTTAAAACAAGGCTCCTCATTAGCTTCTCATTTGCATACATAAATTCCCCTTGTGACGTCAGAAGGGGAAGTCGCATGGCAGTTTGCATTGCCGATACGTGTAAATAAGGCAGTTTTCTTGTCTTTGACTAAATTGTCACTTATGTACTTGTTTGTCAAGGAAGAATGGACCATAATGAACACATAGTATCAATTTTTGTTGCATGGGGTCGAGTTAGATGCGAAATATGTCCGTTCTGTTGTAGCTGGTCACCGTGATCGTCACCGACACCGGCGCACGTTTGTACACAGTCGCTGAACAAAATAGAATTTGACGTCGTTATTTAGCAGGTTACTAGGCACGTCACTACACTGTTTTATTTCATTGATCGTCTGAGTAAAACTTTCAAAATTAAAACAAGCAGCCTCTCGGCTGAGATAGCTCTGCTGTTAGCAATGCACATTTCAATTAAAGAACAGAAGATGCAAGAAAATGAACAATATGCATAGTATCAATGCAATGGGACTTGCTGTTTTCAACAAGAATTCAAAAATATCATTTTTCACCAAAAATGACAAAAATATTCACCAAAATTATAGAATCGAAGATATCATCACGAAATGAACAAATCTGAGAAAGGTCTACATGTAGTATCTAAATATGTAATATCAAAGCAATTGAACTATTGGTTTTTAACAAGAAGTCGAAAATATCACTTTTTACCAAAAATGACAAAAATATTCACCAAAATTAGAGAATTGAAGATATGATCATGAAATGAACAAATCTGAGAGAGATCTACCCAAGGTACATATACACCAAGTATCAAAGCATTCAGGCTTGTAGTTTTCAAGAAGAAGTCGAAAAAGTAAAACATTGACACGGACGACGACGGACAATCACTCATATGATAAGTCGACAGCGGAGCTAAAAACTCTCTCTCAAAAAAAAAAAAAAAAATAGACAAAAAAAAAAAAGAAAAAACGCTGACCGAAAAATGTATATCGTTTAAAAGTATACTGAATAACCAGTGTTATTACGGCTCAGGGGTATGACTTCCTCTCACATTTTGTCATTTGGTGGCGCACTTTCAGCGAGAGTCGGAAATCCGGAAACAGTCGACAGATTCAGGATAGGTGGGCGTGGCTACAACACGAGAAATATCCCAAATTTACTTAGATACGAATAATCATTTTCAGCAAAAAAATCAATAACTGCCCATTTCAGTGGGATACAGATCTAAAATGGGAAACGTGAGGGTGGGCATTGCACAGGCACTTTAAGAGATTGTAGTATACAGTACCGTAAACTGCAAATGCATACAAATCTATTTGTAGATATTATTTAATGTACAGTATGTTATACAGTATGAAATTTTGTTTGTGTACAAGTTTGTCTGTGTGTAAAAATCCGAAAGTGCCTTAGAATCGCAACAAAGTTGCAATCGAGTGTTGTGCATCTCGTTAGCATATCAATATTCCTTCTGGCCTTTGTTTTGGGAAAAAATTTCCCACTGTTACCAAAGTGAATGGTCTAATTAAAGCCGCACCAAGACTTCACGCATCTGAATTCGTCCACTGAAAAAATGAATTTTAATTAAAGCCGCGGCCTCAATTAGGAATTTTACGTAAATTTCTGTACGAGGTCAATGTCCCATAGGAATTGAGGGCAATAGTAATTCCTGAACCCTAACATAGACACACTACACTGAATGAGTTATTGAATTTGTTATTAGTAGACAGACAGACAGACAGACAACTGAGAAAAGCAATATGAATCTTACCCTGACTTTGGCACTGGATTTCTGGCTGATTTCCCGGATTTCTTGACCTTTGACACCAATTATGGCACCCACAGCACTGATTGGTATGAACAGGTATGTTATTTCCGATGGCTGAGAAAGTCAAACAAAAATATGAAGTATTCATGGCTATACAATAGTCAGTATTGCTGAAAGCATCAGTGGATAGCCAAAATAAATATAAAAAAAAAAAATTAGCAGGCGATATCCTAACCATTTTTAAAATGGTAAGTGTCCCACTCAGCCTGGACATACAAGACCAAGTTTGAAATGTTGACAACCAAATTGCTATTTATTGGAATGGCAGCCAGTCGGCCATATTTGATCAGCTCACAAAACAAATTGTAGATTATTACTAATTTTTAAAAGCAAATGAATGGGTTTGTCAACGACACAAATAAATAGCTGAGAGTAATGAAATCAACATTGGCATGTCATTAGCACTGTCAATAATGTAATGGGGTTCATAGGAATAAATGGCCATCAGTCGGACATATTGGGTTCCAATCAAAAAACAAACCATCGCGCATAGATTGCATTTGTTGAATACATGTAGTTCTAAAAAATTTTCAAGGTTTTCAAATTATCTTGTATTTGCATCAGATAGAAATGTTGTCCAATTGTTGCCGATCAACAACAGCCATTAACCTGCAAAATTTTGATTTTATAACCAGAATAAAGATTCAGTCTGAATAATACAGTGAGAAGAGAAAGAGCGCATGAAATTACGTACTGGTTGGAGAAGATGATGTGTATTAACAGTATATGCTGCAGGGCCAAAGATGGCGTACAACACAGCTGAGTTATGCTGAAAAGAATTCAAAGAATCATTGTAGTTGGGTTCAAAGAGAAATAATTTAAGAAAACCCAAAAAACAGCATTTTTTGTTTGTTTTTGTGACCACCTAAAAGATACACGCATACAGAATAGATTTGAGCACCAGAATTTGTACGCATTACTTCATTAATTTTCAATTAAATGGACAATTTCCCTTGAGATCAACATTTTTGAAACAATTAGAAAAGAGATTTCATATTTTATATTCCACGTAAATAAACAAAAAGCATTGGATGAATAAACACAAATATCAGATCATGTGACTATACAAACATGCTAATAGCAAGCGACGAATTCCAGTTAAAAAAAAAAAAATCCTGGAGCTGTTTACTTGATCTGAGCCTGTACATTTTAACAATTTCATTGCATGTATTTATTTGCTAATCTAAAAATGTAATCAAAGCATTTCATGGCCTTTTAGTTAATTGACTGTATTGAGTTGATTTACTATGTGTAACGTTGAGGTGGTCAGACAAACGATTGCCAGAAAGTTAATACAAGCGGGTAAAGCAAGATCAAACCAGTACACAGACCGAATTAGATTTGAAAAAAAGCAGGCATTTTGTTGGATTAGTTATTAGTCAATGAAACCCAATAAACGTCAATGATAAACGTCAATGATAAACGTCAATGATAAACCAAGGATGCAGTCATAAGAAGCACTTACCATTGCCACATTGAATATAGCCCCGGGTGAGTTGCCAAGACCTGAGAAGACTGAGGCATGGTTTAGCCCCGGGAAAAGATTGTACTGTTGCTGTAAACGAATAAACAGATTGATTTGAGTTAAAGAAACCAACCAGCCCATGGCTGCCATAATTTATGCAAATTTATTCGAATATCACCAATATTTGCCATGCTAATAAAATGCTGTGGTCGAGTCTCAGGATAACAAGCTCGAGGTTGTGACAGACATTTTCAAATTCTTGCTTCCTGAATCAATGCTAATTACCCGTTAGCAATAGGTTTATTCACATTTTTTGAAAATAAATAATTCATGCATTGTACTTCAATCAGCAAATTTGTAGCAGGCCTGAATACGCTTAGATTTGTCTAAACGGTAACCTCACATTTGAAGTTGACAACACTAAAAATGAATGAAGTTCTAGAAAAAGACATTGAGAATAAATATTGTGCTAAAACACATTCATTATCAACCAACCTGCAAAAATTCACATATTTAATCAAAAGTAATGACAGAAATATAATCAAACTTTTAGGGGAATTTCTACATAAATTATTCATTTTAAGAAATGAGCATTGGATACAATGCCTCGACTCTTTTTTTCTATTTTTTTTCGTTATCTTACTTTGCTATTATTTTAATCACTTATAGAAACATTGCTGTAAACCAATAACAAATTTGTATTTCTAAGGATGCAATAAAGTTATTATTATTATTATTATTATTATTATTATTATAGTCACTTACTGTTAAACTGGCCATGTCAGCTCGAAAACTATCTCTTAGTTTTTCACTGACCATCTCTTCTGCCTTGCACTCATCATTGAGCGATCCCTTTATCGTAATGGTACGTTCCATATTATAAATAGTAAGCTCTTGTAGACTGCAAGATAAAACAAAAGCAAAGCTGGATAGGTCAACTCTGTAATGCTACATGCCACCATGTTATGGGGTACGTCCCAAATCCTGGGATTACAAATAATTAATTTATTCATGACAGGGTAAATGGTTACAGCTTGCAAAAAATTTTGTTATTGCCATTTATCACACTTTTTTTAAGAACTGCACTACCAACACAATCCCCAGGCATGCATGCATGCACTACCAACACAATCCCCAGGCATGCATGCATGCATGCATGCATGCACTACCAACACAATGCCCAGGCATGCAGGCATGCATGCATGCATGCACTACCAACACAATCCCCAGGCATGCATGCATGCACGCACTACCAACACAATCCCCAGGCATGCATGCATGCATGCATGCATACACGCACTACCAACACAATCCCCAGGCATGCATGCATGCATACACGCACTACCAACACAATCCCCAGGCATGCATGCATGCATGCATACACGCACTACCAACACAATCCCCAGGCATGCATGCATGCATGCATGCATGCATACACTACCAACACAATCCCCAGGCATGCATGCATGCATACACTACCAACACAATCCCCAGGCATGCATGCATACACTACCAACACAATCCCCAGGCAGGCATGCATGCATGCATGCATGCACTACCAACACAATCCCCAGGCATGCATGCATGCATGCATGCATGCATGCATGCACTACCAACACAATCCCCAGGCAGGCATGCATGCATGCATGCATGCATGCACTACCAACACAATCCCCAGGCATGCATGCACTACCAACACAATCCCCAGGCATGCATGCACTACCAACACAATCCCCAGGCATGCATGCATGCATGCATGCATGCACTACCAACACAATCCCCAGGCATGCATGCACTACCAACACAATCCCCAGGCATGCATGCATGTATGCACTACCAACACAATCCCCAGGCAGGCAGGCAGGCATGCATGCACTACCAACACAATCCCCAGGTATGCATGCATGCACTACCAACACAATCCCCAGGTATGCATGCACTACGACACAATCCGCAGGCAGGCAGTATGCACTACGACACAAACCGCAGGCAGGCAGTATGCACTACGACACAATCCGCAGGCAGGCAGTATGCACTACGACACAATCCGCAGGCAGGCAGTATGCACTACGACACAATCCGCAGGCAGGCAGTATGCACTACGACACAATCCGCAGGCAGGCAGTATGCACTACGACACAATCCGCAGGCAGGCAGTATGCACTACGACACAATCCGCAGGCAGGCAGTATGCACTACGACACAATCCGCAGGCAGGCAGTATGCACTACGACACAATCCGCAGGCAGGCAGTATGCACTACAACACAATCTGCAGGCAGGCAGTATGCACTACAACACAATCCGCAGGCAGGCAGTATGCACTACAACACAATCCGCAGGCAGGCAGTATGCACTACAACACAATCCGCAGGCAGGCAGTATGCACTACAACACAATCCGCAGCAGGCAGTATGCACTACAACACAATCCGCAGCAGGCAGTATGCACTACAACACAATCCGCAGCAGGCAGTATGCACTACAACACAATCCGCAGCAGCAGTATGCACTACAACACAATCCGCAGGCAGGCAGTATGCACTACA